TTTTCCCAAAAATGGTTTTGGGGGCCCCCCCCCCCTTGGGGGGCCGGGGTTTATGGTTTTTGCAAAAAGGGTTTCAAAAAAAGGAGTCCCCCCCCCCCCTTTTTTTTTAAAAAATTTTCCCAGCAAAAAAAGGACCCCCCCCCCCCCCTTTTTGGAAATTTTTCCTTTTAAAAAAGGACCCCGCCCCCCCTTTTTTTGAAAATTTTTCCTTTTAAAAAAGGGGGCCCCCCCCCCCCCCCCCCCCCCCCCTTATGTGAAATTCCTACCTCAGATCGTGGCGCTGAACTACCAGACCTCGGGCACCCCGATGCGGCTCAATGACGGCAAGTTCCGCGACAACGGGGAGTGCGGTTACCTCCTCAAGCCGGAGTGCTTGCGGACCGGCTCGCCGTTTCACCCGGAGCATGGCCCGTTCCCTCCGGGGGGCGTCACGCTCACCGTGCAGGTGATTTTTTTTTTTTTTCATAAAATATTTGAATGCAACGTCACAAAGACGATTGAGTTTAATGAGAGGACGCAGTATCACAAAGAATATTTTACCTCTTCCGCGGAAAAGAGTCGGGGATGCAAGTAGATTAACGAGGCATTGTTAACTTAAATTTTCTATGGTCCTTAGTTAACAACAATATGATAGTGGTCTTTCCGAAACCTGATGGAGTGCTTCGTTCATAGGCCTGTCGCGCTCGCGGTGAAACCTCACGTGTCGCTGCGAATGTTTGGATTGCAAAGAAAGGTTTGAGTAGTTTTTTGTTTTTACGAGACATGCTTCTTTCGATAGTTTCGTGCTGCTCTTGCTTTTCGTTGAGTTTTGTGCTGCGAATTGTAAGTGGTTCTCACCTGGTAGAATACGGCCAATCGTCAGGAAGAATATTTTTCATTTGCACCACTTTCGACGGTCTCCAAAATCATGGCCCACCTTGGGCTGTGTGACGCACAGTCGCAGAACTGTAGGAAATATCGTCTCGAGTGCACGAGGCGTTCGGTTCGCAGCTGAAGCACCGAGGTTGTAGGAATTGCTACGCTTTCCTTCGTAGCAGCATTTGTGTTTCGTTGTTTCAGGCTGCCAGCAAAAGGAAGAAAAACAACAAAATTTTAACCTCGAACTGGCGTGACGCGCCTCCCTCCATCCTCCATTGCTGTTATATACAGCGGAGTTTTGCTTTCGCGGCTTGTGGTTGTTGCCACGAGCGGTAAAACTCATTGTTCGAGCTTTTTGACACCGAAGACTCTCTCCTGTTTTCGGACCGGTCTTGGAACAAGGTTGTACGTATTTGGTTTTCGGTGTAGCTCCTTCCAGCGTGTTTTCGACCCTTTTCTCGCATGGATGGTATAACAGAAGAGCGTTGTAATTTAGATCACGACACTTGGCGACACCCGCACGTTTTTTCTCGTTTTTTTTTCTTCTCGTTCCCCCCGTCAAAAGGTGGTGAGCGGGCGGCAGCTGCCCAAACCCGGGGGGGCGCAGCAGGGCGAGATCATAGACCCCTACGTCGTCGTCTCCGTCAACGGCCTCCCTAGTGACTGCAAGAAGGCCAAGAGCACCAAGGTCATCCAGGACAACGGTTTCAATCCCATCTGGAACGAAACCAGCACCTTTGAGGTATGTACACATCAGACGGCAGTAGCGAGGTCGATCATACCGCACCGCGTCCCGTCCCGTACCGTACCGTGTTGCCATGAGCCGCGTACATACCCAAAGTGGTACGCTTACTTTTCGTGACTTTGGACACCTTGTAGATACAACACACAAAGTCTTGTAAAATGTGATTCCCGTAGCTAGAAGGACCCCAGGGGTGGGTCCCTGGGGGGGCACAAGCCTTTTATGGTCCGGACCTTGCGCGTCTTCGAACCTTGACCCTTACGTAACCTCTTCCGCACGAGAACCCACCATTCGTCGTACCGTACCTTATTGTGTGATCTCTTCCGCACAAAAACCCGCCACGCGCCGCGCCGCACCATATGATCATTTCTGCACAAGAACCCACCTCCCGCCGTACCGTACCGCACCGTACAGTCCCTTCCGCACCGGAACCCGCCACCCGCTGTACCGTATTTCATACGATCCTATGATTCGTTCTGCACGAGAACCCACCACCCGCCATCCCGTACCGTATGTTGCCTTCCGCACAAGAACTTACCTTCCGCCGTACCGCTCCTCTGTTTTTTATCCACGACAAGATCACGATGCCCGAGGTGGCGTTGTTGATGTTCACTGTGATGGACAAGGACGTGAACAAGGACGATTTCATAGCCCAGACGGTCTTGCCGGTGAAGAACGTCAGGAAGGGCTACCGCTCCCTCCGACTCTACAGCAGCAGCGGCACGCAGCACGGAGATTTCGAGCACTCGTCGCTCTTGTGCCGTTTCGCCATCACTCCGACGTGATGATAGTATGATAGTAGCCGTGGCCGGCCAACCTCTAACGATACTCTTTTGTGCCGGTTCAATGAACCGCTCGGTGACGTAAAGGCCGCGTTGTGCCGGTTCACCTTCATTTGGAGGGACCAAGGGGATGTGGGTAACTAAGCGCGGAGTAGATTGAATGTATTCTAGACAGGGTGAACATTCAATACATGTAAATGGTTATTTTGCGGTCCAGGAGGGACTGCTGGCTGCGGTGGTGATGGGCGCGCGATGTAAAAGTATGGACCGTCGCATTTTGGGGGCTCTCCTTGTGTAACCCCCCCCTTCGCCTTCTAACGATGGTTGTATCATGGATTGTTGTGGTCCAGCCTGTGAGGGAGCGATTTGGCCCGCAGCGTAGCCACCTTGTAGGTTGGCGTTTATTGCCTATTGTTACGACGAAAGCCAGGCAGAGATAAGTAGAGGGGTAAAAAGAGGAACGCCGCTTGTGGCGGTGCGTGCAGCTTGGCTGGACTCGATTTTGTTTAAGGGCAACATCTGGCAGTCGGTGCCCTAGAGATTTTTGGCCCTCCTTTCATTCATGTTGCTGTCTGGCTGTCTGGCTGTTCCTTCAAGTGCTGGAAGTTGGAAAAGTTATCGTGTTGGTTTCGTGACTATCAAAACGAACCGCGTACCCCAGACGGAAGGCGCGAGTTCGGTGTGCTGGCTGTGCCCTCGTGGAGCCAATCGGTCTGATTTTGTTGCTGGAGGGTGCCAAGCAAAGCTGAGATGCCTCAGGAATGAAATGCATACTTGGGTGTCGTGGCCAATGATTGGACCGGAAAAAAATTCTTTGTGCCCTCGTGGTTTATGGCAGGAGAGGCCGCGCAATGAATGAAGGAATGATTGTGATGCCAACGTTGCTGTCTGTTGTAGACGTTGTTGTTGTTGTTGTTGTTGTTGTTGTTGTTGTTGTTGTCGTCTTCGTCGTTGTCACTATTGTAGTTGTCGTTGTCGTAGTTGTAGATCGCTCTTCGACGGAAGACACAGTATAATGCGTGTCGGGGCTGCTGGTGCGTGCAATAGTAGCGGCAGCAAACAAGAACCTCGAACGTATCAAAGCGTCTTCATGCGTAATGTTGTGTAATAGGTGCCCGATGCCTGCGGCACTGTTCCACTTGGGTTCATACTCAACAGTTCATATACCTTATTGTACCCGAACAAAACGTGTGTGCTGGCTGTTCCACAGGCACGTACGCCCAATCCCAGGGGCGCATTTTTTTTTTTTTTGCTCCACTTCAAATCAGCGCTCACAGCACTAGTGCCGTTTACTCCAACCCGTGGTCACACAGAATCTGAGCAAACTTTTTTTTGTTTTTTGTTGTGTGTCTCTTGTGCTGGTTTTGGCTGTCGTTCATCAGTGAATAAGGATCGCATCATCATGCTGATGCGGCCTCATTTCGTCACGGTTATTTCGCGTGCGACCATTGGGACAAGGGCGAAAAAAATGGGACTGGCCTCCTTGGCAATGCATGAGTTCATTCATTCCTACATGAAATTGATGCAGGGTCTTCCCGTGCCGGCTTCATTTCACTTCTCCCCGCACAGGATCATGCTTTTAGTAGTGCTTCAAATAGGGGGGCAAGGTTTAAGGATGGGTAGGGTTGGTTACGGAGCCTCTCTGTTTGATTGGCCAACAATAATATCTTCGCGAAGCAGGTCCGGATCATGACACACATAGACTAACACCCATGACACCGTTCACGATGCAATGCCACCCCTGGAGAAGCAGCCCTGTCGACCCTCCATCGCGCCGAGATGACCATTTCTCTCTGCGCTTGGCTCATGTAGGTATACCGATGGGATGGTCGAAATTCCGGTGGTACGTCCTTCCTTCACCAAGTTCCGAATTGTTCCTATTATAGTCAATTCCGCCATGTTCCAACGCTCGCTGTGTTCTTTGCATTTTTTGTCGTTCTGAAGTCCTTTCTGGCTAATACATGCAACACCGTAAGTTGCATTTGTCTGCACAGCAGCCAACCGTTTACATGCTACCTATACTACAGACCAGTCTTCATACGCACCCCACCTTGATTCTTCCGATGATATGCATACGGCATTTCTTTCACGCAGACAAGACCTACTACTACGAAAGAAATCGGTCGCATCAGACTCTCGAGAATATACAAGCGTCCCGCGTGCGAGATAAAGTCATACCAACACCACGCGCTGAGGGGGGGGGGGGAATCAGGCCGGCGCTCCCTCCGTATCAACAATAGCGCAACAGAACATTACACATGCGACCATCATCACCACCACCCGAGTAAAGGGCAAAGGGTCAACTTCCCTCTTGAAACCTCCTCCCGGTCGGTTGCCCGACCATCTAGACAACTGCCTCTTTCGGAACAAAAAATACATGCACACGCTTCCATCGAATGATAAGGAGAACGGAGACAGACATCAGTTTTTCCGCGTGAATAGCTAACGAAGAAGCGAGTACCGAAGTTCTGTTGTGTTTTGTACACCGCCGTGTTGGGGCCGCCCGGTTTCGTCTCGTCACCATCTTGTTTGCGCTTTTCTGGGGTGGACGATGGCACTGCTATAGGAGCACTGTAGGGGGGGCGGAGAAAAAACAACACACCAGAAAAAAACGCAAGACCAAGAATATGATGTGTGTGTGCCAACTGAACAAAAATAAAAAAAGCGACTCTTGGGGCTAAACAAACACCAATCAATTGCAAGGTGGTTTTCTACCCATCCATGCCCCCCCCCCTCCCTCTCCCCCCGTCACTCTCCCCCC